ATCTTTCTGACATTTCACTTAATTGTGGCAAGGCAATAGCTCCATGTGCATTTGCCGCCTCTACCTTTGTCTCTTCATGTCCCTTTTATTTCTCACTGAGCTGCAAGCCGAACCTGATAAGCCCCAGCCAGATGTCGGTCTGCTCTGGGGTTTGTCTCACCTTATATGAGCCACTGAGCTCTGAGGGCCTAGTCCTGCAGACTAAGGATAATATACATCACTTGGCAATGCGGGGGTACAGCTGATCTTGGCAAACTGTGCCAAACCAGATGAATAAGTCCTTGATTCAGTGGGGTTTGGTGATGTCTACAGATATTGTAGATCATGTTACTGCAGCTGCACATGCAAACAATTTCAGGATTTTGTAACAGCTTCAGGAAAGTCACAGACTTCTGCAGAGTCTAGCCACCTCAAACAGTGAGAAGAGCAAGACTGGTTCTCCTATAGAGCATTCTGATATTATGATTAGTCCTATAGGGGAAGGCAAGAGTTTGGAGGCCTGAAGTCGGGGAACACTTATTTGAGTGAGGCCAGAGTGTCTGGTGTCAATTAGCAATTAGTGGTTTGGGGTAGAATGAGGGGGAAGTAATGCTTTTGGGGAAGCCAAGATTACTTTTTTTAAAACTGAAACTTCTATATGGTGTGGAAATATATATATAGGACTGCTGTCATAACAACTTCATATCTCCAAATAATGGGTGGAATTCTGGTCACATAGGTTGCAAAAACATGTTATCACTTGACATGATAGCGTAGTCCAAATGTTACTCACTGCATGTTCTCCAACAACTTAAAATAAAAAGTCTTCGCTAATGTAACAGAGTTGGTATATGGCTGCTAATAACAGTTTATTTTCTTAGTATTTTTAAGGTCGTGGCCAAATCAAAAGTGAAAATGTTACATTTATGAGTAACTTGAGATGCATTCCAATTTAAAAAGTTGAGATGCATTCCAATTTAAAAAGCTAAAAAGTTATTTCTCTTTCTCCTATAGCACTCTTGAAGGCAATTTTAAATCAAGAGTCCTGCAGCTTAAACGAAAAACCACAGATTATTTGTCAGTCCTGTCTATGCTTTATTGAAATGGATAGCATGCAAAAGTCTTTACTAACCGTAAGATCAATAAATGTTAGAAACATGCGGTGCCACTTATAAATGATTAAAAAACGTTTATGTAGGCAGCAACTAAACGCAGCTTTTTAGAACACAGGAAAACACAGTGAAAATGCACAGATCAGGCAAAACATTATGACCTTGTTTCTATGTTCATTGTCCATTTTATCAGCTCAACTTACTATATAGTTGCACTTTGTAGTTATATAATTGCAGACTGTAGTCCATCTGTTTCTCTGCACACTTTGTTAGCCCCCTTTTACCCTGTTCTTCAGTGGTCAGGACCCTCATGGACCCTCACAGAGCAGGTACTATTTGGGTGGTGGATCATTCTCAGCACTGCAGTAACACTGACGTGGTGGTAGTGTGTTAGTGTGTGTTGTGCTGGTACAAATGGATCAGACACAGCAGTGCTGTTGGAGTTTTTAAACACTGTGTCCACTCACTGTCCACTCTATTAGACATTCCTACCTTGTCAGTCCACCTTGTAGATGTAAAGTCATAGACGATAGCTCATCTGCTGCTGCACAGTTTGTGTTGGTCATCCTCTAGTCCTTCATCAGTGGTCACGCTACCCACAGGATGCTGTTGGCTGGATATTTTTGGTTGGTCGACTATTCTCAGTCCAGCAGTGACACTGCGGTGTTTAAAGTTTTAGAATTTAAAGAATTTAGGATTTACAATATTTAGTCCTAATTTTATTGGACAGAAACCCCTGGGGACTTTTTCAGGTCTAAAGCAAGAGTGGAGCTTGATTTTCCCCCATCTCTCAAAGACGCTTCTCGCAGCAATGCAAGCTATAAAATATTGTTTATTTGATGGTGACATGTTTGGTAATCTACCAGGTCCTGCACTCTTGTCCCATGTACACAGAGTAGACAGGGCATGGGTTAGAGGTGCCGCAGATGCAAACAAGTAATGCACACAAAACCCCTCCCTGCTGGTGCCAACAACAATGGGCCAGCCAAGATAAAGGAAGAAGTCCAGAGCTTCCTCTGAAGAATCTGAAGGTGACTACCCCTCAGCTTTTTGCTTTTTCCATTGACAGGATAACTTAGGAGGGGGAAACTAATGAAAAGTGACTTCTCAGCAAGCACTAACATCAGTGTGTTAGCTTTGTGTCACCCAGGTTCTTTTTTCCCTCCTCCAAGATTTTTTTCTTTTCTTTTCAAGGAAAGCAAAAAAGAGTGGCTGTGACTTCAAGGGAATTCAGCACAGAAGGTATCTTCTTGAAAAACATGCTTTCCAACTCTGACTGGCTTGCTTGTGCTTTCTAGCTGGACCAACGGACCCAAGGGGAGGGGAGTGGTGAAATGCAGGCGCAGAGACGTGGGGAGGACAGGGAGCTGGGAGCTTTTTGGTTCCGCTTGCGTCAGCTCCAGCACGATCTACGCTCCGCTGAGCTTCATCATAGCAGGATATCTTGCTTGTGTATGTTGTATATATGTATGTGTGTGTGTGTGTGTGTGTGTGTGTGTGTGTGTGTGTGTGTGTGTATGTTGTATATGTGTGTGTGTGTGTAAAGCACACTCAAACTCAGTGCTGTACCTTATCTTTTGAGAGCACACCTACACACGTCTCTCAACATCTATTACAGTCACAGCACACAATCCCAAACAGTGGTACACAAACACACCCACATAGACCACAATGCTCAAGACACTACTGTAATCCTCTCATCTTCAAAGCTGTTTAAAGAAAAAGGAAAACAACTTTTCCAGGCTTCAAAAGAGAACACAGAGGAGGTCTTTGAACAATGAACTAGCGCTTTGATACTTTATCACTATCTTTGTGTTCAGACAAGGCGAGCTGATATGACAAGGATGTAAAACTGCAGGTTGCGTAAGCAGAGTAAAGCAACATCTGGACTAGTGGATAATTCACTAGCTGTTGTCATGCTCACTATGAATGTGCATTTTTTGCGTTGAAAGAGTGGGTACACTTGTAGGGAAGTGTCAAAGAAACCGTGTCGAGGTATCAACTCTCCCCCGCTACTGTGATCAGAGGGGAAAAAAAAAGAGAACCATTGGTGGTACAAGAGCGGCTCACTTTGCCCACCTCCCACACCTTTGCGTTACACTGTTCCTACAAAGCGCCTTTGTTCTCCCACGAGAGAATCGAAGGCTCCAAAAAGGATTCCCACGGATTCTAAATGCGGCCCTCTTACTTGCTTTGGCATGAGGAGGTGCCAGCAGCCCTGCTGCAGCTGCGAGAGAGATTTTTTTGTGCAGCCCTTTTCGCTTAAGCAAGCTTTCAGTGGCTAAGATCGAAACAGAATAGTGACATTTCAAGTGACTGGACCACCAAGAGGGTGTGTTTTGGATCAGTGCTTGTAGGATGTGTGTCTGTGTGTGTGTGTGTGTGTGTGTGTGTGTGTGTGTGTGCGCGTATGCTAATGCATGAACACAAAAAGAGGAACTGCTTTTAAAACGACTAAATTTAAAATGTGCAGATCAGCACTGCCGCATGCAGAGGGAGAGAAATAGAGAAATAAAAAAATAAAGTCTCCAAGTGATTTTTTTGTAAATCAAAATGGAAAAGGAACAAGTGACACAGAGCTACTCTACTGATGTTAGGCATGGGGCAGAAAAATAAGGAGGGATTAAAAAAAGAAAAGGAAAAAAAAGATAACCTGGCAAACTGGCTCACACCAACCAATGTCCCATAAAGAAACGGCTTTGTAAGAAAACACCCCAGAATTTGGTCAGAAGAACTTAAGTACTAGAAAACCAACCACCATGTAAGTTGATTTGGCTACTAGAGCCCACCCAACAAAAAAGCAAAGTCTGAAGTAGGTCTCTGTTCATAGTCAGTGAAGCCTAACACAGCGTATGACAAAAGCATATGCGTGTGTGTGTAATCATATGTATGCATGGATCAGAGTATCAGCCTGTATATATTTACAGATGGGTGACAAATTAAAGGAAAAACCAACCTTAAGCGTCTTAGTAAGAGCCACTACGAACAGCTAGAAAGCTTTTCAATGCACCTTAACATAGATTCTACAAGTCTGAAACTGTACTGCAGAGATGCAATACTGTTCTTTGAAAAGATATTACTTCAGTTCCCTCAAAGGCTGCAGTATATAAGTGATATATAGTATTTAGTAGTATTCAGTGGCCCGCTATGCCCTGTGGATGGGGGCACTGTCATCCCAGAGGAGGCCACTCCCATTAGGATATAAATGTTTGATCAAAGGGTAAAAGTGATCGGTCAGAACAACTCCGTATCACTTTATGGGTCAAGCATTCAGGCCTGTCTTGGTGTATGCCAAACATGCACTGATCCACTTGTGAAGAATATGGTGAAGGAAGACTCATCTGACCATATCACTTTTTTCCATGTTTCTGTAAACTAGTGCCAATGCTTTTTACTCTACTGAACTCTCAAATGTGCATTCGTCTTTGTAATGAGAGGTTTAAGCACTGCAATTATACTATAATATCCCTCTCTATGTAGTTGTAGCTGCATGGACATTATCAGTAATTTGTGCAAGAGGTGCTCTTCTGTTTTTCCTTACATTTCACACTAGTGCACAAGCATCACAGTCATTGAATGTACACTTTTAACTCCAATGTCCAACCATATTTACTGATGTCTTTCCCAGAGATCTAAATGCAGATGTCACTTTAGTCACTGTTCCTATTCAAACATTGATTAGTCTTAGAAACCTCTTTCAAAATCACTTAGATCTTTCCCTCTTGCAATCTTGATACAAAAGTAAGGCCGCATAGAATGCTCAACTGTATCATGCCCACCTGTCTAGAAGCATCTACACTAGTTATGTTTCTCCATACATTTATTCAGGTTTTTCCTTTAATTTGTCACCCATGTGTATGTGTGCTTGTGAGAATCATGTTCACATGTTTTCTTTCTGTCATTACTCACCTATGACCGCAGCAGTAAGCTGGCTCTTGCCTGATCCCAGACTATTTTTTGCCTCACAGATGAAGGTGGTATTCACACTCTCATCCACCTTTTGCACCAGCAGCCTGTTCTGATCCACCTTTGCTGTAGCTGGCAGGTTTCCCAACACCCTGAGAACAGACAAACCAGCTTTCAGAGGAATGCTAGCCTATGTTAGTTTCCAAGCCACAGTAACTGGTTAATTTTGGGGATTGCCAATAGAGCGATAACTGACATGTAACTATGCTTGAAAAGCAATAATTACTCATGAGAGGGACACTGATAGAGAACTAGACAAGCCAAAATTAATTTAAAACATTTTGTCAAATAATATAAAATAACATTTACATGTGATATTTATACTTTTATACTGTCATCAACCAATGACTTATCAATAGAGTCATTACGCTTTGGAACAGCAAAAGTTGTTTGGGACACACTGTCTGAAGAATCTTCTAAGCATTATAAGTGTTCTGATGAGATGTAAAACGTAAAAAAAAGGGGAATTCATGCTTTCCCCAGCTGAATTCTAGAGCATCTCTGCTATAATATGACTCTCTTTTTGCATGCAAATCACATGGACAGGCTTTGTAACTTCCACTTTGTGGCATTATTTTGGGGGCTGGGAGGACCTAGAAATTAGAAAGAGCACCGCCTGAAATCCTATGAAAAGCTTATCTCACTAGTTTCTGAGGGAGGAAGAAAGAAATAAAGTTCAAAATAAAGTAGGGCTGCACATACACCGATACCGTGTTGGTATTGGCTCTGATACTGACACTTAAACACTGTATCAGTATCAGCGATGGGGATACTGATGCCTATGACTGATACCACAAAGCCATTTCTGATGTGGACATATGCTGCTGGGTGACGTGGGTATGTGTGCCAGTGGACGTAACCTAACAATACATTAGTGGTGTATGTTTACAAGAAGTAAAAATGCTCATAGCAAAATCTGTAACACTAGTATTTAATGGTAAGGCAATGGTAGAAGGTGATATACCAGTTGGAATTCTTCCTAAGGTATACATTTCACTGGCATGCCAAAAACAAGGCAGGCGATGCAAAAAAAAAAGAATAAAACCGCTAACAGGAGCTCCTGAGCTGAATGGCTGAGCCATACTTCTTTCGGTAATACCTCATCTGCCATTGTGTGGTCAGTTAAAGTCTGAGTTAATGATAATCTAGGTTGTTACTGAGAAAGCAGATGTCAGAGAGAAATATGGAAGGACCTGCCAGTCTCTTGCCGTAATGATAGCCTTTAGCCTTGGTTTAGCTTGTAGCAAAGCCCTCCCTGCAGCTCCATTGATCAGCCGTATCACACAGAGGCCTGTTCTTGCGGTCAGTTATCAATCAATCTGATAAATCCATTGAAAACCGCTGCTACTGATAGCATGAATGACTAACATTTACTGAACTCCAGCAGAGCCTGATGTTCGTAAATCTAAGTGCAAGTGAACGAGAAGCATGGACGAGACAATGACCTGAGAAATTCAGATGTGAAACCTTTAGTACTGTTATTGCTGAGTCAGAAAAGCTTCTGCCTGCTTACGTGTATACACCACAGGTTTATCTATATATATTTTCAAGTTTTGTTTTTAAGTATTTTGCACAATAATTCACATTAACTGCAGCTGTGATCACATTTCAGTACCATTATCGGAATTGAAAAAGTAGTACTGGTGCATCCATAAAATGAAGCATATGGGACAATGTATGGCATGGTTCATGTCTTAAAACCTGCTAAACAGAGCATGAAATGCAAGAGACAAAGATACATCTAATGTCTAACAAAATACCAGATAAAGTAACAGTATAAAAAAGGCAGTGAACATCTGTTGATGTCAAATGATTAACTGAATCTGACCCTGATATTCAGTTAATTTCTAGACTGAACTGACCATGCAAATCAGTGAAATCCATATGATTACACTACAATCACAGCTCCAATACCCTGGCATGAAAAAACATGTATAATGCAATTTTGAATTTTAAAATACAGACTCTGCTAACATGCCACCCCACTGGAATTTAAGTAATCTGATAGGCATTGTAGATAGCTGAAAGAAAGATTGCTGTTTATGTTGTCCTTGAAAGGTTTTGGCGAAAATGAAAGCAAGTTCTTGGCTGTTGTCAGACTGTTTTGTTTGGAAATATTTTAACGACTCTTTAACATCAGACCTGTAGACACTGTTGACGGCAAACAGATAGTGACTGCTAAGCTCACAACCATGTGCTTGTCTGGGGATAAAACCTGTTCATTACTTGTTTTACTTCACCAAATGTGAGCTGCTATGGGATGAGTAGCTGTGCTAATGGCTACTGTATGCTATTTTTTTCCCCTAGAGTCAATTTGTGCTTGGCCATGCAAAAAGAAAATCTGTCTCAGCAGGCAACCACATTTTGATAGCTTATAATAGACTGACTGATCATGCAAAGTAGATACAAACTTATGATTTAGCAAATCATGTTGGCTGTCCACAATTACTGGATAAAGGGAATGCACACAAAATTTCCCACTATCCTCAAACTTTAAATAAAATCCTATGCTCGTGGTTTCTCTTTAAGGTCACTTACGTTGTCCAAGTAACATTAACAACCTTGGGGTTGGCATCAGCATGGCAGGTCAGTGAGGCATCAGTACGTCCCATATACCAGTTATTATCATATCCCTCGATTCTGACAGTGGGGGGATCTGGAGGGACAAAGAGAGGTCAGTGCCATTAGTATGTCACTGAAGATCAACAATGTATGGAGAGAGTGAATAGCACAAAGAAAGAAAAAGGGTGAGAGTGAGGGAGAGAGATGGGAGGGTGAGAGGAGGAGAGAGAGAGAGGCTTTCATGTCTTCAGCTTAGATGGTTTAGTTGGAGTGATTATGTGCAGCTGAGGCTGGAAAAGGATAACTGAGATACTAAAGATCGCCCAAACGTGCACTGACCTACGAAAAAGCAGAGTCAAAAAAAAAGAAAACTGGGGGCTAAAATGCAGTCTGATATGCAAGATGAAATGAAAGAAAGAATATGCAAAAAGGCTAAAGATATAACTTCCTCAGTGATATCAAACACATACAGAATCACTTTATAATTCTCTAAACAAGTAAGGGGTGGAATTAGAAATTGAAGGTCACACTTAACATATATTAAATGACACATTTAAAAAGTGAAGTTCACTTAAAAGAGTTTTAGTTGGATGTTAGTTAATGACAAAGTGAGTGTCTATAGAGCATCTACAGTGGACTCTCATTATAAAGCAATACAAAGTAGAAAAGTCAGAGCGGAGCATGTAGCCAGTTTGTGTATGAGTGTGTGTGTGCGTTCTTGTACATTTTACAGAAACAGTCAAAAAAAACAGCACTAACCTTGCAAAGTAATTTTATGTATAAAAGCTACATGTTTCATTTTATGTTTCAATTCTGTTTTTTAGATGCAAAACACCTTATGGATACTGGCTTGTAACTCACTCACGTTCAGCAGGTCAAAAATTCCATTAGCATTCAAACAGCTTTTGATGTCTCACAAGAAAGTGTGTTATGCATCAGTGACACTATGTGTACTTGTTAAACTGAAGGGTTTAGACCAGTGATGTACGTATAGTCTGCGGTGGACATACTGTTACTAGTTTTTGCAAGACTAACTTAGCTAGCTCACAGCAATGTAACTAAAACACTTAGCTAGCTACAAAAATCACCCATTAAAGATATAAATCATGATATAACTTTACTTAAAATGTAATCTTAGACATGCTTCAGTAGTTATCTTATCAGTTAGCATTTATATGTTTAGAAATTCACATTTTTACAATAAATACAAACAATACTAACATAAGTAGTAATTTTATCTCTGTGAATGTGTTCATTTAACCATTTCCAAACCTCTCTTCGTGGCAGCTCAGTGTTATTTACACTTTTTATCTAATAGTAATAGCTAATCAATCAAATTTATTAAGTTAAATCAGATGGAAGATGGAATTAAAATGTACTTAGGTGCCCAGGAGTTTGCACAGTACTGTACATATGGGACGTATGCATGATCACAAGTCTTCACACTGAATAAAAAAAAAAAAAAAGTTCATGTGTGTGTGTCTCTTACACTGGACCACCAGCTTCATGGGGAAGGTCTGAGGCCGATCCTGTGTGTGCTGGCTGATCATACAGGTGATGTCTCTGCCGTTATCAGTGGACGCTGGGGCCATGCGGTATTCGCTCTTCACCGTCACTGTGCCATCTGATTCAGCCTGAGACGTGCTGTTGTACTCACCCATGGCACCGGTCACCCATGTGATTGTGGCAGCAGGCTTCCCCTGCAGTGCCTCACAGCGCGCCACCACGACCTTGGCACTGCCAGTCTGCACCACAACCGGGGTGGCTGAGTTTTTAGGCTTGGCTGAGGGAGAGATAGAAGGAAAGGAATAAGGAGAGAGGGCAAGAGGGCAGAATGTTGATGTGACTGCATAATGTGGCTTTACTAATCAAATATGATGTTATTTATTAAACAAGCAAATTGGAAAGCTAAAATTAGAGGGTAATACAAAAATCAGAAGTGCCACAAAATGCTGGATCAGATAGCAGGGGAAATAAAGAATGAATTAATCACAACAAATCCAGCCTAAAATATCACAGAATTGCAGCACTGCATAATATAAAGCAGAAAGTGTAAATATCACATGATAACAATCGCCACATGTAGCCTAAAAATACATATGAACAACAAGTACAATTATGTTAGACTTATATTCTTCCTTTTTTGGGTGGCAGAGTAAAGAGTGAATATAGAAAAAGCTACAGTTTTATATCAGCCAAACAAGGGTTGGAACTGATAAAGTATACAGTAAAGTGACTCAATATTTAAAGTAAAAAAGCTGCGGTATGAGTTTTATGTTACATCACATCTTTTTCTGAGAGTTTATTAATTTATTTCTGTAAAGTAGAAAAACTATTTTTGACTTATGTAGACCCAGAGCAGCACATGTAAACATTTTGCACAAATTCAAACTCAAAAGTCTAATGATCTACTTTAAAGACTCTGCCTTGTTGGAAAGCCTGTTTGAATTCCTTTGTACTATGTTGCTAGTTAACGCTAGTTTCATCAGTACTCCCATTAATATTAGAAGGCGGTGTTAGTTTAACTATGGAAAATATCCATATCTCTTAGCTTATGAACAAATTCAATAATGTTTTCAAATATTTAAAGTGCCAGATTTTGATCCATTTTCCAGACTGTTCTTAACAAATGTTCTTGCTCTCTATAGATATGGTGTCATTTAAATTTAAGACAAAATAACACTAATTAAGAGAAATACACTAATAAAGAGATTTAAGTTGCAAATTAACTCTTTTTGTAAAAGGGCATCATTTGTGTTTCATAAAGACATGTATTTTAAGGTTTGTAATGAAAATGCTGAGACCAGATGGATACCTAAAAATATATTTGCAACAGTGAGTCAAAAGTAATGTCATTGGCAACATGCACAATTTAAGTGTTTTTGTTCTTTCAGGTCCGAGACCCCTGATGTGAGGTAAAGTTAAGCTTGTAAGAAAAAAACGAGTCAAGCTTTCAGCTCTTTAAATGTTCTATTATTTTTACTGGAAAATGCACATGCCCAAAAAACAAACAAACAAACAAACAAACAAAAACCCTAGGGCTCCTCCAGTAAAACCTGGCCATTTGCAACCCTGGTCATACTGTTAGCGATGTATTTCTTCCTGTAAGCTAGAGAGCAGTTTGAGCACGGTACTTTTCAGCGGCATCTTAAGTGACTGGCTTCACCATATAAAATAACTAAAGTTGAGTAGTTTTTAGAGAAAATTAAATTTAAAAAATCTGATTGCCATTAGTACCAGTCGATACTCAGGGATTCAGTACCTGCGTTGGAAATGAAAATGTAGCACCTCTAAACAGGATGGCAAAAATTGCAAACAAGGGAGAGCTATAGTACACATGATGGCATTTCAGCCAAACAGCTGAACTCTCACCTCACTACAGACTACTTGTACATTATAGGTATTGTAAATACACACTCAGCAACTGCACACTAAACAAACACAAATACAGATCTACAAAATAAAATCAGAAGAAACTGAAATAAAATAAGAAAAAGGAAAGTGGAGGACAGTAAGCACAGAAGAGAAAAATAGAAGAAAAGAAACGGATAAAAACTTGGAGATCAACAACATTTCAGAGCAAGAAACAAGAGTTCTTGTGTCAACACACAAGCCTACAAAGTACACAGAGTTTATGAAACAAAGAAATGAAGAACATAAGACGGAGATCACTTCGTCGAGGCAGTGCTGATTCATTCTGAGCCCTGGGCTGATGATAGCAGTGGCTTAGTCACTGAAATGATGAAGCTGGTTAATGGGAGCCATTAACATTAAAACAGAAGGCAGACAGGCTGCAGTTAGCAGAGGTAACAGGAACCCACATAGCCAAAATCCAGCCCTGGATCTGTACTCGCAAAAACATTTCAGATGATGAGCGCTTCTGGGGTTTTGTCATGCAGGCTTTCACAGTTAGCTGGTAGCTAAAGCCAAAATAATAGTAATAATAATGAAGCAGTATGTGACAGTACAACTGCACAGCTTGGCTCAAGCTGATGGGCTAAATGAGAAAGTTCACTTCTCATGAAATAAGCACTAAAATGGGAATTCTACTTCATTTCAGTAACCAAGTTACTGTTTGTTATGTGATGCCTATAATAAAAAATATGAAAGAAGTTAATGAAGTTGAAAAGTTTTAACAATACATGACACATGCTTTCTGACATCTCTAGATGCTGTTTGTTCAGACAAAACAAGGTACAGCTGATGTCTCTGGCTATTCTACATCAGCCAGCTAAAACGAGCGATGGCACTGTTTTCGTAGCACATTGTGGCTGTCTGTAGGAAGAACCATCTACCTTGACCGAGTTTTCTTCCTTTTTACTGTACCTCTAATTTACCTGCATGTACTATTAATTTGACATCTGAAGTCCTAAAGTTTGAGTAACTGGACATCATAACTTGTTTGTTTTTTGTTTTCCAGAATCCAATGGTTTAATTCATAACATACTAGGGTTTCCTCGAGTTAGCAATTAAGTGAGGGAGGACGAGAGAGAGAGCAGTTGGTTAATAAATTGGACATTAGTCATAATGAGCAAGTAACTGACCAACTGAAAAGTTTAGATTTTTTTCAACTGTTTTTTTTCAATTCCCTACATCAAAAATCTCACACCAAAACACTATTTGTCATTCATATTTGACTGGCATGAAATTATAAGCCACTTCAAGAATCTATTATCTTGTCAAGCTGTCATTAGCAATTTTATTGGCCTCCATAGCATGCACAAGGTTTGTGCATTTTCCTTTTTATTCCAGACTGGCCAAAGGTACACTGAAAATATATATTACTTAGAAAATACTGTATAAAAAACATTTTAAAGTCAAATGGTATTTCTGCAAAAAATGATTGAGCAGTAAACTGCTGAAGTAGTGCCTTTTCAAAGGCTGGTATAGTCAACAAGTGAGCTGTAGCATAGTAATAAACTAATTAAATTAATTAATAAACTTACAGCTTAGGACAATTCTGTTACTAATCCACTTTGAACAAAAGACAACACTTTATCAATGTAACAATAAACTGGTATACTGTAAGATTAACAAGTTTTATGACAAAAATTTAAGATCATAGATCCTACAGTTAGATTTCTATTAGGTCTCAATTAGGCAGTTTGCACTTAGCCAATTAGTTATTTAGTTTTAGTCATCTGAGATAGTTGGTTTGTTAATTTGTTGGCCTCTGAATAAACTGATGTTTTGTAAGCAACTTACCAAGCATGATGAGCGTGGTGGTTCCCTGTTCGTTACCACTAGGGTAGGTGGCGTACTCACAGGTATACCTGCCGGCATCGGACATCTTCACACTGTCAATTCTAATAGACGGGTACTCCAGGGAAGCTTGGATGAACTGGACGCGGCCTTTAAAGGCTGACTTGGGGAAACTCTCACCATACATTGGATGGAAAACCGCTATGTTCTCTCTGTGGCCCTCAGTTGCTTCAAAGATCCATGACACCTGAGAGTCAAAAACAATTCTGAAAGAGCTAGCAGAATATTCAAGATCTGCTGACATCAACAAGCAATTCACAATAGTAACAATGTACAAAGGAACTGATACATTCCTCACCCTTACTAGCATTTACATATTGACCTTATTCAAAACCACTGACTGGCCTTCACATTTCAATGACACCTTTAATGACAATGCACAAACCCCACCTCACCCAAGCAGCAAATTCTAATATGTAATTTCATTGTTTTGCAGAATAACTTAGTTTGAAAGACAACTTTACATTCTTTTCCACATTACGTATCAAAAAACACCATGGGACCACAAAAACCAGATATTATTTGAGCAGTGACACGGAAACACAGTATGTGTGTGACGCTGTTGAAAGTATCAGACGCAGCATCACTGCCGTCATATTACACACTATCTTCTCCTACCGACCACTTTATTAAGGCATTTTTTCATGGGGCAGTGTGTTATGGCACATTAGTAATATGGATACTAATCTGACACGGAAAATACCCATATTCCCGTGTCCAATTCCCATTGCACAACAGAACTGTGCAAGAAGGCGAGGTTCACTAGAGGCTGTTTTTTAGTCTACATTTGGTTTCCTCTTTATCTCGATATCGTTGATGATGAACGAGTAACCCGATGGCAATGACCACCCTTTTGGGTTAAGAACTGAGAGAGAATTAGAGAGGATTAATGTACCGTTAGACACCATGTAAATATGTTGGATTCACGTTTACGAAGTGTGTGGGCACATACCCCAGTAGTCAGGCTCTTTTATGTTTAGGGGGGTTTGTTAAGAAGCTGCCTTATTTGTTCCCTCTGCTATGCTCTGTGATGCTAGCTCTATCTACCCTATGGCTCTCCTCCTTCTGTGTGCTTTATTCTTACATTACATTTACCTTTAGTGAAAGTAATCAAAAATAAATGCTTTGTGCTTCAGCTTGCTTCAGTGTGACTTGCTGCAGTGTAACACCTGAGCGTAAAAAAAACCTAGCGCAGCTAGCTCTAAAATGGAAAGTTCTTCTGATCCCCATCTATGGCCAGGAAACAGAATCAGAAAAAGGTAATAAATAAAATTTAATAATATGTAGACATAATGTTTTATTCACTTTTAATGTTAAAACTACTGAGTTATAATGGGGCCTTTAAAAGCAGTAAAAGGTAAGCAGATGGACTATAATCATTATTGTTCAGAGTGCACCTATAGGGTGATAATATGTTGTTGGCCTGCCAAATAAACTGGCAACTCTGTAAATGCCCATATATCTTTGCAGCACAATGGACTGAAATGGCAAGTTCTGAATGTAAATTGATCTAACAACTGACTGCATCACTAACTGACTCACCGAGTCACGTATTACAACAGGGACACTGAATTACAGACTGAATAAAATACAAACTGACAGACTCCATTACTGACTGGCTGACTTTATCTTAAGCTGACTGCCTCGCACATAGTTACTAAATGATGAACTTTCACAGTAATTGACTACATGAGTAATACTGGCAGTACCTGTGTGAGTTTAGTGCTTCCTGGGTTGGTGAATTCACACCGCAGATTAACAGATTCATTTGGGTAGGCCTCCACCTCGGGCAGCACCCGCACACGCTGATTCCGAACCACTGCAGGGTGAAGAAGGATAAACGTTAGGCATCCCAGTCACAAATCTGGAGTAAATCAGAACCACACTCAAGATCCTTGCTCACATACACACCTCATTCTCTCACTAATCACAACCACACTGCTGTGACTCTGTAATGCTTATGGCACATTTCTTGTGATAGACGCTGTGGCATGAGATAAGGACGTGTTTATGCCCATCTTTAATCCAACCAAGCACGGCGACGGCCAGGAGTTGGAACTGGGTTTTTCCATCATAGTTTAGCCGGGTGAAAGGTGACCATTTAGGACTGAGAGCAACTCTTGTTGATGTCACTACAATACACGAGGGACACCATCTTCATTAACGGAATCTCACCAATGACACTGTGTACAGTTTTTAAGCCCATCCAAGTCTGCAAGTCTGCATAATAATAGCTTTGATTTATGAATAATCAATCACTGTATATGTAAATTGTCTAATTTACATATAATTTGCGTAAACATGTAACTGCTCTGACCAAGTCTGTGTTAGAGGGGACGACACCTGCAGGTGCTCTCACCTCCCACCACTCTCACTCTCTTTCATAATCAAATACACTATTTTAAGACTCAGACAGCACTGATGTTCAATATTCAGTGATGTTTCACAGATCTAATAACAGGGTCAGCTTTTTTCCCCCTTTCATATGATCAGAACTATAATCAGAGTGAAAACTCAACAAACTCTGATCATTTCTGCTCAGAGACATTTTACATTACAGAGGCACAGTGATCTGTACTTTAGGCTAAGTTTAGAAAATATAAGCATTAATCAAATAGCACAAGAATAAAAGAAATGTAATTTGACTCTGAAATGAGTGATATAATCAATGGACATGGGCTTAGTGCTTCTCACTCCCTTCATTCCCTTCATTCAACAAAACCCTAAAATAATTAGTGTGTTTGTTCATGCAGAAAAAATCCTAGCCTATAACACTTCCGATTAGTTTCTGTAAAACCCAAGCTGGAGTAGATACTGTCCAGTGGACATTTTTGGATAACAATGCAACACCTAGTGTAGAGATGGCATTACAGTAGATCTTCTGTTTAAATAAAAAACACAAAACAAAGAGACAGAAGTAGAAATGTAACATATACCGTACTGGGCAAACGTCTAAGGCACCTATATATCATTAGAATCAATACAAATAAACAAATACATAAAAAAGTAGAAAAAAAAAAGGTTTAAAAAAAGTAGCTGATATTAGGGGAGCAAGTTTAAACAGCGACTTCTGATTTTGCTTCGATGTATCATATGGATTTGTTGAATTTCAACACCTGCACAGATATTTTAACTTAATAAAGTATTGATTAACCAAACCAGGTGTAAAATGATAACTACAAATTAATGCTGGGCTGCCACAAAGAGAGGTTTGGAAATGGTTAAACAAACACACTGACATATCACTGCTGTCGGAAGAAAACCTTTTATCTCCAAAATGGAAACTTTACAGGACAAGGAAAAAAACATACTTTACTTTTAATGTAAGTCAATGGAACCAGACTTTTCCAAGTCATTTTGGTCCATTCTTTATGAAATTTGCACACAGTGTAAAGGGCAACAGCCATTTTCAAATTATGCAAAAAACTAAAAAAACGACAAAAATGGAGATATAAGGTTTTCTTCCGACAGCAGCAATTTGTAAAATCACTACTTACTATATGAATGTTATTTGCATTTAATATTAGTGGGTTTTTTTTGAGAAAAGTAAATGCTTATTGACCATATATACAGCTTTTTAAGTCTGATTTTAGTAACTTTGGCTAAAACTTGTGCACAGTATTGTATATGTAGAGTTGCAACAATAATAAAAAAAAATAAAATCACTGTAGCAGTAGCATGCCAAGCAAGTGTTGGGCATGTCTCCAGCAAAACAACACATTTGTGTTGTGAGAGCACAGCTATCAACATCTGTAGTCGAATGCACACAAAGCGTAGTGTTCTTTGTCGTGTTCATTATTTAACGTTTGTTGTGAACGTTACAGCACTAGAAGGATGTAACAAAACACTTTCACAATGGTTTTAAATAGGTCGATAGATAGATAGACAGTCAGACAAATAGTGAGGGATTCTGCTTTGCTACCATGCTCACCACTTCTGTAAACAAATATTAAGTTCTGTGAGTGAATTTTTATGTTAGTATTAAATATCTTGCTGGTAAATCATCCAAATGGTGTGGTGTTCAAAATATGACCGCAGCAGCCCTACATACATACATACTGGCAATACATCTCAAGGCTCAATTTTATTCATTCATTTACATATATCTTTTACGTTAATATATATTAATCATTTATACATATCAGTCTTAAAGGCTCAGTAAAAAACAGCCTGTTTAAGCCTAAGTGATAAAAAAAAGACTGGAAATGACCATGTAAAACTGAATTATGACTGCTTTGGTAAATAAAACCATATGTTATAAGTGGATCTCATAAAAAAAACAAACAAACAAAACAATTACATTACAAGACAAACGTAGGATATGTAGAATATTGACCCTTTAACATTGTAAAGCCCCGCACTAATAAAGTCAGAATTTTTCTTCATCCAACTGCTGTTTAAATATTAACAGAATATTGAACTGTGAACGCAGCCTTGAATCATGAGCTAAGTGTGTTGTACTGTATCCATACAGTACTTTTTCAGCACCAGATTAGGAAGAGTAGTATAGGCAGCAGAGAGTGAGATGTAGAGGCTAAAATAAACAACCTCTGTTCTGCTCAGATAATTTCCATTGCAGGCTCTTGTAGCAAGAGGCACAAGGGATCTCCCTGAGCTACTGGAGTCAAAGGCCATCAAACAGCATGAGGGCTACTGGAGGAGTGCACTCAATGCACTGACTCCATCAGCCACCAGCTCAGTCAATGCTACAGTGTGTGGGAGCACACACAAACACCACTTGCTGTAACCAACTTAATGGACAAATACGTTTAAACAATAGCAGACCTTCAACTGTGTTAAAATCAATAGGTAGATTAGATAAATATACTGTAAAAAAAATAACTGTCACATATGCCTGAAGTGGATCATATATAAGTTTTTAAGTGCATCAAACTAAGAAGACAAATAATATACTTATCAAAAACTTGACTCTAATTAAAGCTATTCAAAGACCTCCTTCTGCAGCACCCTCAAAAGACAATAAAAGAAAAACAAGTACATACTTAGCTCATGTTGAAAGCCCTGGGCTGCATAAAATGAAAGCATATTAAAACAAGTGTACACACATACATAAAAGCAGGAACATCTCTAACAGAAAATTAAGTATAAGTCTTAACAATCAAATTTTCCAGGATGCAGTGTGTCCACCACCTTTATTACAGCTTCCATTCTTTTCAGGAGATGTTCAGTTTTTCAGGGGTATTTTCCCACACCTCCAAAGTTCAGTCTTAGAAGTTAGGTTGCATTTCTGCTTCTCACCATCCAACTAATCCTAAACACATGCAATGATATCGAGGTCTGGACACTGGGGTGGCCAGTCCATTGCTCTAAGAACAGCAGCAGCTTCTTCCTTCATTTACATAATTTCTTCTTTTGTGTTTCTTTCTTTTTCTCAGTAACAGCTTCTTGACAACTACACATCTTTTCAGACCCATAGTGGTAACTCGTCTTCTAACAGTGTAAGGATGGACAGAAACACCTGTGAATTTTTCAGAACGTAATTTTTTTTCAGAAGTAAAAGTGGAACTTGATTTTATCTCTCCAAGACACAAGATTTAAATACTGTTTATCTGATGGTGACAGTTTTGGTGGTTTTGTGCAGTTGTTCTGAGTCCCTTTTTTTAAATTATCTCCTTTTTACTTTCCCTTTACTTATGCAAGTGGATTTCTTATGTCTAATCTGCTCAGAAATATCTCCTGAAAAATGAATACCTTGATAAACACTTAATTTAAATAAATGAAGGGTGGTCTCTGACTTTTGTACCGTACCGTATATTAAAGTAACAGACACACATAGGGTAACTTGGGGGGGAGGAAACCCACCAGGATAAGACGACCCAATGCCTTAATAGCGGGACAATATTTCCTTGTTTTAGGGTATTAAAAACCACATTTGTCTGCTGTTCCAGTTTATTTCCCCTAACTCAGGGGTCGGCAACATGCGGCTCTTTTACTGCCCTGTTCCGGCTCCACAGCATAATTAGATTTTTTAGGTAAAAACAAAATAATCCTTCTTTGCAGTAAAATAAAGCTCTGCTGGTTGATCTAACACAGGTTTAACAATAAATGGTCTGGAGTAAATGTATAACTACTACAACAATCTCGCCTAGGTAGTAGCTAGCGAAACGGCAATAAGATGAGCATCGATAATTTTGAGACAAATGGACTTATTTTCCTGCCAGTGATGTAAGAAAAGCAGTTATAACTGAGCTAAAGCTGAAAGCAGAGCAAAGTTAGTCTGTGTTTTTGTTTATATTTTTAGCCTACACTAGGTCATTAGCACATACTGAGACATATTTACAGCCAAGATAGTAAAATGTTACTTAAATAAATGGACATAACAGTTACAATGTTATGGCTCCCAAGGCGGACTGATATTTGCTGAAAAGACAAAACGGCTCTTCTTAACATTTGTATTGCCGACCCTGCCCTAACTCTACAAAGGTTTTTGCACCATCAGCCTGTACATGCTAAATTCATGCTCAAATATGGCTGAGCCTAATCTAACATTGTTCTTAAGACAGGCATTTTCTCCCATTTCCCCATACTGTATGTGCCACATCAAATAGCACTTACACACACTTAGAGGAACATAGTTACACAGTGAATCCATTTTGGCACATATTCCACCACTGCATTAAACTCTAAATGACCCCACATTTGCAACCCCCAGAGAGTTCACAGTTAACATTATGCAGCTTGAACAGTGAGCGATATGTGCCAGCAGAGCAGAACAGCAAATGTTATCTAATGACAGGGTGAAGCATGTGGTGTTATGATTCCATGAAGAATATGAAATTATTGGGAATCTAGCAAACT